AAAAATCCCAAAGATCTAAGTCTTGCAGATAGTCCAGAATTGCACATGAGGAGTGTGCTTGTACTAGAAATTAATTATAGCCTTAGGGAAAAAATGTTCTGAAGTACCTGTGGATGATTTTTGTGCAGCAGCACGTGCAGTGCTTCTCTGCAGGACACTGGAAACTATTTGTATGTCATACAAGTTCTGTATAAACAAATCTTTCGTGAAACTGTAATTCATTAAGAACTAAACTCAGTCAGGTTCCAACTGAAAAGAAGGTGCCTTTAACCATTCAAAACACAAGTGTTGCATTGTATTATTGCCTGGTAGAACATGGTTATGGCACGTCCAAGAGCACAAACCTGGAACTTGTTTATGTTGGACATGTGGTTTCTAGTTCTGTTTTATAACTTAAGTATGTTCCAATTTTTTTCCCCCACCTACCAGACTTGGATCAGCTGTTCGGAAATCAGTGGTGACAGAGCCAAAAAATTTCTGCTCTTGCAGGACAGTCTTTTAATGCAGAATAGTCTTTGAAGCCTCCATTCTGCAGTATTTGCAGAGGTATCCTTTTGTTACCAAGTAGGTTTTTATTAGGTAGATCCACATGGGCAGTGAGCTCATTCTCATGCTGTGTATAGTTTAACAAAGCTATACAATGTAGGTTATTCAAGTTCAAGCACTGAAGCCAGACACACATATCCTGTATTTTTCACATCTTGCAGATTCAGCAGGTCGTACATGGCCTCCACTTAAAAGTTTTTCAAAGTTCAGAGTTCCATCTTTGTAACTACTGGTGGAAAAAGAGACCTCAGAAGCTTTTTTTGCAGCCCTAACAAAAAACATTTACTTACCAGGAACTTGGCACAAGTCAAATAGTACTGAAGTGCACATATCCTGAAACGACCTTTGGTGCAAGGGAAAGATTTTCTGTAATCAGTTACAGCATTTTTGGAGTGTTCTCAGGAATTACAGGCATAGTATTTCTGATGGACTGGCTGTTGGCACTGCAGTCAGTGGATCAATAAGCTATCTTACATTTATTGCACATTATGTGTTTTCCGGACTGGAACTCTATTCAGTTATAAGTTAAGTTTATGAAATATAGGAACCCAAAGAAATTTCATGGAAGAGTACTGTATTGCTGCTATGCATTTGGCAGCTTTTCATCAGCTTTGGTCCTGCAGCAAACAAAAGCAACTCAGCAAAATGTGAGCAGAATGAGCAGGCTGGGTATGTGGTCTTTACTATCACTGACAGTAGTTCTAAAACTGCTCAAGGACTGGAGCAGAAATGCTAAGCACTTGGTTCCAGAGGAAGACCAGCAGAGGTACAGCAGCTGAAAAAGTCATTGACTCTTCTTCAGCTACATGGCTGTATTTCCATTAGTGGGCCTTAGAGCAGAACCAGCTGAAAAGGGTTAGAGCATGGCAGCCTAGTCTGTCTTATTTCCTGCCACAATTGTCTGCAATGGTGAGCTGCTTGTTAACAACTCCAAGAAATATTTGTCTTGCAATTTGGGTTAAGTAAATGAAATTACATTGGTACAAATTTATATGCAAGACTCGGACTTTATAGATTCTTGCGAAACCTCATGGTGTCTATGGGGCTTTCCTAGATTCTTTGCTTCATAACTTAGAATTCCACTGTAACAAACATGAACAGAGATTCTACTAATCCCTGTTATGTATTATGGGGGGGCTAACAAATTTAAATTTGTGATTTCTTTTGATGCCAGCAGAACAGCAGAGTAGCATTAATATGTGATTACTTCAGCAGTTTTTGTTTGTTTTGGCGATTGATATATTTTGGAAAACCAATGTGAATTGTATGCAGCTTTTATGCACGCATGTGAAAATATTAACAGAGCACTGAAAGCCCCTCTAAGTCAATGGAAATTTCCATTTGGCATATGTATGTTCATACGAGCAGTGCCAATAGAATGTTGGCAAATACTAATCTTATTGTATAACAAACCCAGGGTGTATTTACAAAGTTGGTTTTTTGAAATTTTAAGAGCACAGCCAAAACAAAGCTGGATGTCTTGGATACCCTGGAGAATTAGTTATCTGCCACCACTCACAGATAGGTGTTTTTCTCCTTTATGCAGAGATGCACAGCATCCGCACCTTCCGTTTTCTCCTACTGCAATCATTCTTGGTAATAAATGAATTCTTCTCACTAACACGACATACAAAAGACTTGCAGAAGCAAGAATATGCTACTAGTGCTGTGCTACTAGTGGGAACACAGCTGCATATTATGGGAACGTAATGCTACTCAAGGTTCATTCCACAACTTTCTTAGCATCTCCTCTGCATATACATACATCAAATAAGATCAGTAATTACTTTTACATATTGAAGGAGACTTCCAACCATTTTCTACATTCTCCTTCCAGCTTCAGTCAATTTTCTTGTGTTGGCATCTCCTCTCAGTCTGTGGGACAATTTTATTAATGGCATCACCTCGTTGACCAAATCAGCCATGATTTAAGTGAGCATCTTTTTGAGTCTAACTTCTGAGGAACTGTTTTAATTAACAGATGACTTCAGAGAATAAGATGGTTGAGCATCCCATCAGTGTTGTCACTGCTGTGCTCAATGAAGTAAAGGTTGTAAAACAATTGGCACAAATACTTTTCTGTGAACTCTGTCCCAGACTTATAAAAATGGGAAACATACCAAAGAAATGTGTTTAGGAACATGACTGTCAGACACCTTATTAAGAACCTTATTAAGGTACTAATTATGGAGCCCTCCTTACATAATGCAGAGACAAAACTGGATTGAGAAACAGCTACTAACCTGTGCTTGCCAAAGCACAGGTGGTCAGCAGCAGCTTCTTCTAAGCAAAGTTTCAGGATGTCTCCAAAGGAGTGTTTTGTTTTGCTTTAAATGGAGTAAAGAACATTTTGTCATTTTGTTTCTTAAAGTAAGTTCAGTTTACGGAATTGACAGTTTCTGCTAAAGAGCTTGGACTGAGCAAACATGCTGTTTCTCTGCCAGTATAAGCTCTCACCTGACTCACAGTACAAGATCCAGAAGGCGAAGGGCTATTCATTTTTAGATTCCATTGCTAACATTGTATACAGGTGAAAGCCATGTAGAACTCACTGTTTTGTTTCTTTTTGTTTGTTTGTTTCTATTATTTTTTCCTGCATTTCTGTACATCAGTTTTTGAGCAGTGCTGCCTCTGCAGAAAACAGTATCACTGACCATATCAAGGCAGGATCAACTCTGTAACGATAAGCGATTGTAAACCTACATCCTTTTTCCATCCTTTAAAATGACATTATTTGATAGGTTGCTGTTAATTCCCTGAAGCTTTAGGGATCAATAAAATAAAATTAAAAAGTCACAGCTCTTTCACTGTGCTTGACAGGATAAAATAACATAGATTTGAGTACTCTCCATTTTCTCAGTCTAACATGGAACTTCGCAGTAGCATTCTTTCATCCTTCTTTCATCCTCATCTTGACTGGTGTCCTTACAGACTGTTTATGAGAAGATAATTCAATCTTTGTATGCTATAGAGCCCTTATTTTTGAATGTACAAAATCACTGAGCTTAAAAATTCTTTCCTCTCATTAAAAAGCTAGTAGGTAACAAAATCCTGGGTGAATCCAGGTTACACTGTGTATTTCTGTAGTAGATATAAATGTTGTAAGCTGAATACGGTCACTGCTGCATGTAGTAGATCCCGTAGGTCAATCAGGGAGGCAGACATTTGGTATAAGCTACATTTTTCTGTATGTTTTATGTATATATGTATTATATATACACACACATACACACAGACATCTGCTTTCATAGATGTTGAGTTGAATTTATCACAGAAAGATGAATATGTCACAACAACTGATGTAATACACTCAGATTTTCTTCTTTGCATGCTTTGGAAGAATTGAGCTATACTCTCATTTGCAAATGATAGCTTTGCAAGTTATCATTTAACTGTTTTCTCTGCTAAGTAGTTGTAGAGTTTTGTGGTATTCCCTTTCTGAAGAAACTAACATGAGTGCAGTTGTTGCCATTTCAAGTACAAACACAGTAAGAACAAGAATAATGCAGCACAACTGTTTCTCACTTTGAAATCAGACTTTTTTTTCTTAAGTATACAGTCCCTATATTTATACTATAAACTGTAAGTATATAGTTCCTAAGTCAAGCTTGTGCATGGCTCTTCTGACTATAAAACACAGATGCAGCTCCTTACTGCCATACAGAACTCTACTGACCCAGCAGTGGTCAGTAAATAATCAACTCTAATTCTTCCAGCTTCTGCATTACTTTCTGTGTGGACTCCTTGTGTCCAATTCCTTCTCCCAAATGGCAAGAGAACAAGCTTGAACTGCCTCGCCCAGAATGCTGACTTTATTCTCTTATAGCATTTACAGCCTTGAGTAGTAGAACAGAAGGGTTATAGTGAAAAGGTGATGTACAAATGTTCCTCTATAAGCATGCAGACAGCACTGTGTATTTAACTGTACAGTGCTGATGTTCTCTATTCCCTGCACCAAATAGTAAACATCCGTTTGTGACTACTGAAGTATCATCTTTCCAGAGCCCAACATTTTCTTACTTGCCTATTATTCACAAAGAGTAACATTCTTAAAAGTGAGTTGTAAAAAGTTTTCTTGTCAAAACAAAGTAGAAACAAGTATCAAAGAATTGACTGGAATTCATGATCAAAACACCGTGTGCTCCACATCCTTTGTAGGAATAACAGGCCGTCCCGCTTGGCACTGTCAAGCTGCAGCAGCAATAGTCAGAGCATCTCAGTTTCCCAAAGCTAACTCAGGGTACAGCATAGCTCATGAAATTGCAATTCTTGCTTTCTTTGATTTTATTTAGTCAGCCTGGTGTAACAGAATCTTCTGATGACTCGAGTTTATGAACCTTGCAACTCTGCACATGGCATTCCTGAATTTCAGCTCAAGGCTCCTCACAGCTGCCTGTGTTGTGCTGAGCAGGGGGTAAAAAATATGGACAGGGAGTCAAGGAGTCAAGTTCAAATCATTTTATAGTTCCCAGACTTAGAACTTAGATTGAACAAGAATCTAAAAGGAAATAAGAGCAGGTGGGGACTTCTGTGATCTTTTCCAAGTGAAAATGATGTCCCGTGCTTAGAGTTCTGGAGGCAGCCTACAGACTTGCGTGTCAGGGCTAGTCTGTTAGAATGTCAAGTAATGCCCTAAAATAAACTGCATTTTCTATTATGCTGTACAGAACTTTTCTATCTATCTAGAAAGCTTCTCCTGAAGATCCTTGGCAACAGAAAAATTTATTTTGCAGAGTATTTCATTAGCCCCTCTGCTTTAGGCAGGCAGTCTGTTGAACTAATCTCTTGTACACAGAATGAGAAGTACCATCTCAACAAGCCAGAAAGGTTCTTCTTCTGACCCAAATGAGCAAGGCTGTTAAAGAGCAGATCTGCTAGCTTCTTAAATGATAAAGTGTAGCAGAGCATGAGTAAATATGCCTGAGGCACTAATAATTTATATTTTAAGAAGTAATAGAGATCTTTTCACTACAATTTGTATGCCTATAGAGCAATTGCATCTCGACATGAATATGACCTTTAGCTCTCAAAACCTCCATTAAGTGCTTACTCTGGCAATAAAACAGTAAGTCAAATTCACATCCAAGTTGCTTTTTAACTGCTTTATAGAGCAAGCGGTGGCTGCTGGACATTGTATGTCCATAGTATCCTTCCTGCATACTAGCCACATTCTGCACTGAAACGTAAGTGGTTGCAAGGCTAGACTATTCTGTAAGGGGAAGCAATGAAAACATGAGCAAGGCATGCAAAGACAAACAGTTATATTAAATAAAGAAGCCATGTTTGTATATATACGTACAATTTTATGAATTCCAAAACAGTGATGATGTTCCTTTCAATACCACTTTGAAAAAAAGATAAATGAATCCAGATAGTTCCTGCATTTCCAAAGAAAAGAGAGAAGCTTTCAAAGTTATGTATTCCAAGACAGCCTGGACAAAGCCTTCTTTGAAATATGTCTGTGTTCTATGTAAAATCTTCACATTATGGCTACTAAATCCAAAGCCATACTCGGATAACAGGATGCTAACCTGTACTCCTCCACAACCACATACTCACTTCATTCATTGCCAGTGCTCACTGCCAGAAAGGCCATGGCCTCTCTCCTGTATCACAGTCCCACATATCAGACATAACTGGTCTGTGACCTTGCAAGCACATGTCCAGCAAAAAAATACCATAGAACATGGAGAAACTGCAGGTTCTGAGCTGTACCCAGGGGTATGCTGAAAGAAACAGTGCTCTTGCAGTGATGCTTATCTACTGTAGCCTCTCCTGTTGCATGGTGTGCTCCCACCATATGAACTGCTGAGGCCTGAAGTTTCACAGACTCTGAGTGAAATTGCTTTGCAGGTCTGTCTAAGGAGGAATCAATCCTAAGGGCGTCTGTCTGCAACATCTCATTAATAACCAATCATTCCTATTTTGTATAGAGCATGACCAAGGTGGAAACACATGCTTTTGGAGAAAGCTTGAGACACTGGATTGGACATTCTCTAATATTCAGAGAACTCAGTGTATATAGCTATGAATTAACTCCACTGCTAACAAAATAATTAAGATAGCCAAGAAATAACATGTAGAAAAGACTGAAAAGCAAGCTGAAACTAAAAAAAGAGCAAGTTATCCACTCCTTTCTAAGTATGGGGTGCTTAAAGGAGATTGTTAGATGAGGAGATGCAAAATAAACAGGAAAAGTACTGACAGCATAGGATATAAAAAATGAGACTTGCAAGGGTTGAATGTTGAACTACTTGTATTTTCTAAAAAGTTGACCTGCTGTAAAAGTGTGCACATCAGAATATGAGCACATCTGTCTTCACGGAATCTGGTTCTGTTATTAAGAAGTAAAACTGGAATCCAGGCTTAAATGAGAAGTATGGCTTTACAATCTGGGTAGAAACTCTTCTGAAGTGTATGCAACAGACTTATGCATACCCTGAATGGAAGCTGCTCATGTCAGGCATCAGACCTACTGTTTTATTACCAGCCCATAAAGTTACTTCTCAGAACTGCCTGTTTCATGAAGCTGGATGCTCTGTATGGTTACTGACTGATGCTGCTCATAAACTACTTCAGTACCACCTTGCATTCTGGTACAACGCATCCAGAGTCAAAAACAAAAGTAAAATTCCCACTCCTTTTCTTCTTATGGCAAACTTTCAGTATTAAACTGCTTCCCTCAGCTATAAAGCTACACTTATAAACTCTAGTATCACATTTCACATATGTTGTGTTCTGTGAGGCTGTTGATTAAACAATTTGAAAGTTCACAGAGATATTTCATAGTTATAGCAAAGGGCAACTTTCCTATTTTTTGTTTGCTTGACTTCTAACAAAATAAGATGTCATCTTGTCTCCAAATCCTGGGAGATGCTGTGTGCATAGTATGTCATAACTGAACCCTCAGCGTCTATTCATGCCAAAGTATATGGACTTCAGTTGGAGGCAGATCACTTTCAACATCTTTCAAAATTCAGATAAATAAAGCACAGGTCTAAGTTTAGATGAATAATCCTTTAGTCTGTTATTTTACATAGCGGGACAACCTTCAATTAATTCGATAAGCTTTGCTTTGACAAGCATTTCTCTGTTTTTACTAGAAAAGAATAATAAAAAAATCATTGATGTATCAACAGAGAAAAGACTGATTCATAGGGTCATGTGATTCTTTCTTTGCAGTTACTAAGGCAAGTGCTGGTAACAGTGCGGGGAGCCAAAGTTTCACAATTCCAGCAGGAATTCAGCTGTCCTTCACACCAGATACATACAATTCATCATTACCTGTTTGCATGCTCTACCACTTAAAACATTTGAATTAATACATGAAGGATCAGAAACATTACTGGGAACATTTTGATGAAGTCAACTTTCATCAAAAGCTCTGTTTGAACCACTACAGAGGCAGTTTTTGCATCCATTTTATAGACAATGGTGATGTGTGATGTTTCAGTTTGATTTCAAACATTCTTACAATACAAGCAACTCCAGGTTTGAGGCTTTATGTTTAGTCAAACTTTTAAGTTCTTATCTTCCAAAGTAATTCATTAGTGAGTTTCATTAGGAGACAGCATGGACTGGAAGGCGATGGGGAAATGTGTGAATACATAATCTCTTTTTCCACTGAAAGAGTGGGCTGGAGAAAGAGAGAGTGCCAAGGAGTTTAATGACATTACGAGCTCCCATGGAACAGTCAGATGTCTGATCTAGAGCTGTTTTGAGCTTGCAGAGTAGGCTGGGTAACAAGTGAGGAATTCTGAGGCAGCAAAGGACAGGTCCAGACAGCCGTTCATAATGGAAACCTCGTGTTTCTGTTGGTACCTTAACTACACATTCCCTGCAGACACATTTGGTTCAGTTATGTCAGCTGTGGGTAAGCTTTTTTTTTTTTTCCTTCCTGGAAGAGGGAGAATCAATGCTGTGGAGTTCTCCTTTTTGGCTCCAGTCACTGATGGCACAACATTTTCATTAACAGCCTTTGCTGTTGAAACAGAAGGTGAGCAGTGCAGCTGAAACCATCAGTTTGTAGCAATACAATGCAGCATGCTGACACAAAAGCAGCGTGGACTGTGAATGACTAAGATCTTTGCCCAGCAGATACATTCACCGATGTCCAAATTATTACTTTTCAGATTTTATCGGGATTCATTTGATAAAAACTGTGTTGAGTATTATATACACTTGAAGAGCCTTCCTTCAGTCCCTTGTCACTCTAAAAGGCTTGAACTGGCTCATCAACTGGCTGAAAAAGAGGAATAAAATCCCACATACCTTCACTGATGTTACTGCACACCGTAAGAGGCCAGACTTGTCTGACCTGTGCTGAAGGCGCAACATTTTACCTAAGGAATGAAGAGAGCCCCTTGCACAACAGGCTGTTGGATACAGGCAGGGACTCTAGGCTGAAATTCCTCTGCTGCGGTGAAGCAATAGGTCCGACTTGCTGATTAGTACTTACAGTTTTTCGTTTTGCAGTCCTAGGATTTTTTTGAATTATATTTACTGAAAAATATAATTGATCATTAGAAAAGGAAAAACACCACCACCTTTTAGTTTTGTCCGTAATACCCTAATATGTTTAAAGAGTCTACTTACAGCATTTCTTTCTCTTATTTTCTATTCACAATAGAGATTCTAATGATCAGTACTTATTCTTAAATTCATAGAACTGGACAGAACAACAGATCAGAAAAATCCATTAGTTAACGAGCTACTATACTAATCCCAGGTGAGCGTCACTTTGCAAAGAGTCTGATACTTCAGTGTGGTTTGGAAATGACACACCTTCCTCTCCCTAGTATGCATCACTTCATCCTTTCAACATAACACAATTTAATTATCTTGCAATTAAGTGCAAAGGCAATGGGTCAGCTATTCATCTCCATTCTTGGTACAAGGCACAGGAGAGAGAAATTAAAAGTGGAAGTCGCTGCTCTTTTAAGTCAGCAACATTTCAGCTGTTTTCCTGAGGTTTAGGATCTGATGCCTCAGAGATAAGAAGATCCCGTAAGAGTTTTAGGTTTACTGAAAGGAATTTACAGGCAGCAATTGCAGGGGCCTAACTGAAAGAAAAAATACAGCATTCAGGTTGCATTATTTTAAAATATAAGGTTGCTTTCTTTTCTGGCTGTTGGATTCCTATTCTTGTAAGAGGTAGCTGGTCTTGATCAGTCACAGTTGTACAGACTAAGAGGTATTGCAGTAAATTTGAAGTGCAGTGCTTTCAAGATGTACATGCTAATACATTGCAATCATATAGAAAGACCACAGCAAATATGACTGAAGAGAGTTTAGACAAATACTATGTATGTGGATTTTGACAAGACCATCAGGAGGATACAGGCTGTAAGGCAGTTGCCACCATCAAGTTGTGTATCATTTTTGCTGGTCATCAAAAGAAAGCCTTACGCTGAAGCACCATCATAATTCTGTGGGGGGAAAAACATACAGAGGCTTCTCTTTCCTACCTGCCATGGCTGATTACTGCATTAATACTCAACGTATTAATGACCAATGTACAAAAACAACTGGTCTAACTCCATCTGGATACAATCACTAACTCCCCCAGAAACTTCGCTAAGAACATCAGAAGGGAAGATATAAAAACATGACTTGTGATGTCCAGATTAGGGAGGCATCCTTCTTAAGTGTACAAATTAGAGCACTACACAGGATCAGGAAATGAAAGAAACTTCTTTATTCACTTACTTAGGCTGGAAGGAATTCCTTGCTTCCATCTCTCTAGGAAGAGTGAAGCCAAATGGCATTTTTGGCAGCTAAGCCATGTGTACTAAAAACATGATATGAATGGTTGAAGTGATCATGAGATCCTAGTTTAGACTTGTAGTATTTGCTCCAGGAATATTTTCAGTTAGACTGCTATGATTTATAATTCTTGTAAAGGTGGACAGGGCACTCTGCAACCACCTTGGCACATTTCACCTGCAAGCCCTTTCCTGTTGGCTCTTTCACTCTTTGCTGCTATCCCTTGCATTTCAACCATGCCACATTTCAGACGAGTGAGAAAAAAGATGGCTGGAATAGTGACATTTGTCTGACACTATCTTTTCCTGCCATCTATTTTTGTCTATTTTGCAACTGACTTTATTTAGAGCCTCAGACACAACGCAGCTGAGACTAGATAAAAGCAATACATAAATATCTTTTAAATGAGAGCATTCTGCACAGAATGTAGAATGTTTGTGCTCAGACAATGCAAATGAAGATGCGAATTACACAATCATTAATTTACTAGAGAGGCGAGAATATAACCTCATCATGTTGTGAAAGGAACGGCTTGGAGTTTTGGGCAAGCAAGACTGACACACAACAGTCTTGCTGTAAAACCTTGTCATGCAGAGTGCTGACGTGGATGTGCAGAATAGTTCGCGTAACTCATATTGTTTAAATAAGTAAATGATGTTGGCACACAGTCTTGCTGTTTGACAGCTGATTAGCATATCTGAAAGCATCACCTGTGCCTTACTGTTAACAACTGACTGTGGTTAAGGCTAGGGTAGGAAGTCTGCATTATTTACATTTCTCTAGCATTGTAGGCATTGTTACTGCAGTATCTGAATGTGTGTTCATTATTTGGATTTGAGTTGTTCTAATTAGTGTTGATTATAAAGGTAAATCACACGCTGTAATCTGTGTTCTCGGATGCGATAACACGAGAACTTCCAGAGCAAATAGTAGCACACATTAACTTACAATGTAAACCTTCTGCTTAGATATTCCCCTTTCAAGAAGTATATGTGTCTAAACATCAAAATGAAAATGTTAAGACACAGAAAATAAACCAAGGATTTAAAGAGAAATTATGGTGGCTCGTGCTGCTCTTGCCCAGTAGTAGTAGTTCCATATGGACTCAGAAAACACAAGAGCCAACAACCTATTCAATTTAATGAGTAGGTTTATTAATAGAGATGCCCACACATTCAAGTGGGTTTGCACTTATGTCTGGGTATGTCCCTGTTGGAAATCTGAACTTCAGTTCCTAAAATTCCATCACATCACAGATGTTGGAAATAGCAGAGACAAACCCAATTCTGTCAGCAGGTCATGCAACCTCACTTGTTGTTGCTCTGGGTCCTAAGGCTGGAGGGAGTGTTATGTTCCAGAGCTTAATAACATGTTGAAGTTTTTCTTTGATTTGGGCATTTGTAATGATCTCCTGCATTGGGATTCTGGTATCTAATGACAGTCAAACTCATTCTGTAACTTTTCATTAAGAACATTACTTGTATCTCCTCCTATTCACTGACTTAATGGAGCCTAACACTGCTGAATTTGCTGTCTCTGTCAGATTTGGTTATCAGAGATATTTTGTACGTCTGAACAGACACACAAAAACATGACTGCATCTGGTTTGTATCATTTTGAACTAAGTCTCCCCAGTATCACAAATTTTAAACTGCCTGGTTTCAGTTTATAGGAATATGGAAATTTTTGAGTTTGGATTTTTTTGGTCCCTTTTTCAATACTTCATAAAGAAATCACTGTTTGTCTAATATCAAAGCTGTTTCTTATTCTCTTTCTCAAACTCAGAAGGTTAAAGGCTTGTATTTTAGCTATCCAAAAATGCTTGTTTATAACAAGAGAATAACAGAAATGAAAATATTCGTAAATATATGTCAATGCTATTGAAGGATGACTTTCTTTTTTTAAATAACAGCCAGTCTCAAGAAACACAGACTGTTTGGCTGGTTTTTTTTTGTTTTTTTTTTTTTTTTTTTTTTTTTTTTTTCCTCAGGATAGCATTTCCTTTCTTGGAGGAAGAGTGCTTCAGTTGCACATCTATTGAACTGTCTGCTCTTCATCCTCCCCACCCAGCCTGCTGCTGGTCAGTGTTTCCAGATACATCTTAATTTTGAATATGAAAGCGTAGAAATTTAAGAATAGCACACGTGGCACATTCAGGCTTCTGACTGTTTTCATGACAACAAGCAGTTCTGCCTGGTGAAGCAGCAGAACAGAGTAAAGATCACACAGCAAATTGTTTCTGGCTGACCAACTGCGGTTATGCATTTGGAATCCTGAAGTCCCAGGAAACAAAGAATTTCTTTGTGACTTCACAGCCTTGGCATATGCTTGAGGATGAGAATGTAATGCATCCCAAGTCTCACAACCTGTTTTGGCATTTCAGTCATTTGTAGGTTATATTTTAAATGTGCTCAGACCTACAGTACTTACTATGACTTTTAGTTGTTGTTCAAATACTGGATGCAGAATCACTGAATCATTAATCATCACTGAATCTGAAAAATACCTCTAAATTCATCTAGTCCAACAGTCCACCTACCACCAATACTGCCTACTAAATGATGCCCCTGAGTACCACATCTAATTGTTTCTTGAACAACTCCAGGGATGGTGACTACACCAGTTCCTTGGTCAACCTGTTCAGAGCAAGACAAATATCACATAGATGAGCTGGCAAAACAGAAAGCAGATGACTCCCAGGACTATGTAGGAGTGTCATTTATACCAGAAGGGAGTCCTCAGAATTATACGTGGATCAGGGTAAAGTCAAGAATGCAGCAGAAGCATGGTAAAAATGGAGCCTGGTAGACCTCAGATCTTGTTCCACCATTCCTGTAGTTTCACCATCTTTCTCATAAACAGACAGAGATGTCTTGATATAAATAACAGTTGACAAATATAAAATAATAGAGGACTTTTATGTAACACCATAAGCAAAGTCTGGCCCCATATCCTTCTGAATCCTTTCCAGCAAAAGTGCAGGGAGGGGTATTTTTTAATGCTGCTTCCAAGCATGGGCAACTCAGTAGTTTCTTTTGGCAGTCTGCTCTGGCAGACAATATAGTCAGCATTAGTAGCTATGTCTGTGCCACTGAAATAATTTCAGAAGTTAGTGCACCTGCAGAAGTCAGTCTTACTCAGTGAGCACTATGGGTTTCTTAACACAGCTGTATGTATATTTTTTCCTTTGAACTGGATGGAGTTGAGGGAGAAACAAAAAATGTTTTTGCTCGTGTAATCTTCAGTTAAGATCAATTGATCTTAACTGTGCTTCTCAAATGTGATCACCTTTTGGAATTCTAACTCAAGCTATGTGTGATGATGTGCTGTGGCAGAGGACATATTAAGGTTACAGTTTACTGAAATTCAAAGCCACTTAAAATTGTTAAGAATTAAATACTCATCTTTAAAAGGCATCCCTTGCCAGCCTCTGAAGAGTAGAGGTCTGAATTTCTTTTTGCTCCCTTTATTTTCAAGCACAGCTGTTTGTCTTTTGGAGACTCCTTAACTTTTCCTGAGGCTCATACAGCATGATAATATTCTTCCTGCCAAGATATAGCATTACAACTCTCAATATACACACTGACATACTTGACATGTTAAAAGATATCTCAAATACAGCAGTAAACATTTCCACATTAATTTATAGGATCAAATTCTGCAGTCATTCTATTAAGGCAAAATTCTAAGTACAAGATGTCCATGGGTCAGTGCTTATGCAAGACATCTCTTCTCTTGGCTGGATGCTCCTTAATGAGATTATGCAATCAATTCATATAATCTCATTCTCTCCATTACTGCTAGTGAGAGGACATTTATATAACAATTTGCCTGCACAGAAAACCACATGCCTTTTGTTTGAGAGATGAGTCTGATGACAGACTGAGAATTTTCACCTGTAGTTTTGAAGCAGCAGCTAGGTCTTTGCCTTAATTAAGACAAGTTTGTTCCAGACAGCACTCTGTGTTTTAATGGACTAATGACTCTTATACCTACATAAGACATTCAGCATTACCTCAACAATACAATTTTTCTTTGAGGAGGCATTGCTAAACCTCAACAAAGCTGGGAAGCACTCTAGAAAACAGATCACCACTAGAATGGTGCGAACTGCCAGACAGTACAGAGAAGAGCAACCACCAAGAAGATGTGAACCAAATTTAGAGACGGCTGAGGGGAAAAATATTTCCTAGGAAGGAGGAGTAGAAAGAGTAGACAGCAATTGGAAGAAAGACACGCACCCTCATTTTTTTTTTGTCTGGCAGGCAAATAATCACCACAACCATCATTAATATCAAATCAGGCAGGTGAGTATGATCCTGAATGTTCCCAGACAAATGTGGGGAGTGTTTCTAGTGAAGAATGTGTGTTGTTCTCTTTTGCAATGAAAGCAAACACACAGAAGACTAACTTGGGCAACAGAAATGTCCAAAGACCACTGCCTTACAAAAAAAGAAAAAAGCCATATCTCAAAGATGAGAAACTTTGAACCTACAGGCTAGATCCACCTGTCAGACCGTGTCATTGCTCTTGTTGCCAAAGTTCTAAAGTCCTGCAAGTGCATCTGTTGCATGTCCAAAATACAGGGAGAAGACTGGTGAATTTGGTTGCACAACTGTTTTTACTGGCATGTCCGATCATAGGCAGGAGTGTATCCAACAGATGACTGGATACATGATAAACAGCCAAAATATTTGCCTCCCATGTATTTCACATGTCATTCCTTTCAGCAGAATGAGATGTGTTCTCAACAGCTTACAGGAGAAGGCTCATGAGGACACTGAATGAATTTGCATGTTTTTTTTAAGCAACTAAACTATATCCAGTAAACCAGCTGGTGGGGCACTAAGTTTTTAATCTTTAGTTCTGAAAGCAGTCCTGTTCAACTTAGCCGCCACCTTCTCTTTCTCAGGCTGCACAGCTACTACAAGTGTGCAGCTGCAGGCCTTTGAGACTGCCATGCATGAGCACACAGTCCTGGGAGAGATGTTTGCTATGTCTGGGTCACTGGTCCTAGGCTCAGCATCACAGATCACGGGTTTTAGGATAGCTACTGATAGCGTGCCACTACCCTCACAGTGGGACGTTTATGTAGTTGAAATGCCTCCCGCCTAAATAAGACCAAAGGCAGTGAACAAGAGAACACATTGCACCTTTCAGCAAATGCAGAAAACACAAGCATGACTGTGGAGAACAGGAGGTGAGAGCCTCACATTTGGAGCCTCAGAATTGCCATCCTGTACTCTTACTGCAATTGTTTCCATTTAGCTATAGAGGGAGACTTCATAACACTGTCTGAACTTTTACAGTGAGTTAAACAAACACAGGGACAGCTTGGAAGCAATTATTCAGTAGGAATACAGTTCCAGAAGTAAAATCCAACGAACTGCCAGAGATATGAAATGTGACATCAGGGAAGGGCTAGGATCCCTGAACATCCAGTTATTAAACAAGGTATCAGTAGTTTGATTTAAAAGACTTTGTAAAATGGAATACCACAGTGGTCTCCCACCATGGTTGAGAAAGCCACTGCCTCCATCCCCTTGCATAGTAGCATCTACCTCACCCTAGCCTTTTTAACTTTTGCATATGAAAAACAGGGATAACATTGCCACGCATCTCCTAATCACGCCACGTTTGCTTCTGCAGGTGAGCGGCCTTTTGAATGCAGCTGGCAGGAATGCAACAAGAAGTTTGCTCGCTCTGATGAACTGGCCCGCCATTACCGCACTCACACTGGAGAAAAGAAGTTCAGCTGCCCTCTCTGCGAGAAACGCTTCATGCGCAGCGACCATCTGACCAAACATGCCCGTCGCCATGCCAACTTCCACCCGAGCATGCTCAAGAGACGAAGTGGGAGTAATTCAAGAACAGGGTCTGTCAGTGACTACAGCCGCTCAGATGCCTCAAGTCCAACGATGAGCCCTGCCAGCTCCCCGTAGACCTACCTGCACTGGATGTCAGCACTTTGCCTCTAATACCTAACGCGGAGTTCTGTTTGTGTTGCACACATTTTAAAGATCCTATCGCTTTCCCTCCTCAATTTTTCCCTGACCCCTACTTTTTATATATATATATATATATAAAATCAGTAAATAGCTGCCTCCCACTGCAATTTTCAGTCACATTTTCTTCACCCAACCACACAGCGGCCATTCTAACCTCATGGACGTAATGATGGACTTACATGTTCCACTTAGTGACTCCTGCTGTCTCAATATTTCATACGTTTTACAACCACAAACAGATCCTCTTGATTATTCTTTATAAGAAAATGAGAAAATCTAAAAAAGAAAAAAAAAAAATTAATTCACCTCAGGTGTCAAAAGTAGTTTTGTAAGACCAGATTGCACAACATGAACATACATAACACTTACAAATCAACTGTGTTGGATGGTGTCCCCCTTCTCCTTTCTCAGGGATGGATATTTATGTTACACAATAACTACAATGAAGACACACCCTAACCGCAGCCTTATTCTGTAAATAGATTTGCACTCAGAAGCTTTTTGTTAGGTTCTTTCACACACTGGGGAAAAAAAAAACAGACAATACAAAAACCAAACCAGTACTGGAATGTAGTACCAGACTCTTCTATTGTTTGTATTCCTGGCTATACATCTGCACCGGGGAGCATCTAAACAGGATCTTCTTTCTTGAAACTGCCCTCTGCTTTTGACAGCAAGCTACCTTCTCGCGCCACGATGAAGAGGCTCCCAAACCAACTTCCTATTCCAAAAATCTCCATGAAATTGATAAACTACTAATTATTTTTGTTTTATGCCAGATAAAATTCTGAGCAAATAATTCTAAACAAGATGCCTTAAGTAAATAATGTAAATCATGAGGAAACGCGTTTACACTGGGTAACACTGTATTACAAAGTGACACAGAATCTCAGAGGCATTCTTTTTTCTCCAAGTTCTTAAGCTCTCCGCACTGTGGAGCAGCAGGGACCAGCAGAACACTCAAACCAAACCACACTGACTTGAATGATTTTCTTTATCCTTTTGTTTTTTTTTTTTTTAATTATTTGTTTTAACTGAACTACGGAAATAGAGTAACTGAACCAATGCCCATCACTGGTTTATCAAGGTACTTACCTTCTGTACAGTTGTATCTTAGTAAGACAAATTGCTTAAGACAGCCTCTGTTTCCTGTTGTATTGCAATCATGGTCACTGATAAAAGGAAGAGAAAATTGCAAGGTATTCTGACTACAAAAATAAAATACGCATTTCTAGGTGTTACAAAAAAAAGGCATTTTAGCCCTCCTTACAGTTTCTTAAAAACAGAAATATCAGCATAAAGATTCTGTTATTTCTGAAGAACTGCTTCGAAGATAAAGGGAATCTTAGCTGTTTTTCAATGATTTTGAAGTATTGGGCAAAATATAGAGCACGAGGAAGTAGACCTTCATCATGTTTTGCATGGTAAGAAGTACAGCAAAAAACCAGAGCACTGCAATGTCCCAGAGACATACGCTTTGTTTTGACTGGTTCTGATGGTGCATGCTATAAATCAGCCTTTTTGATCCTGGAATTTTGGGTGTTTTCTTGTTTTTACTGTAGATTATAAAATGCAGGTGAGTGTAGCACAATAAGGCAAAACTCTCTATGCCAAACATGCCATTTGATATCAAGTTAATGCTTACCCATTCCAAATGAGCTTGTATCTTACTTGCTAGCTTGCATTGATCCAATTCTGCAAGGTTTTTTTTGTACTGTATATTAACTGTGAGAGGCTAATATAGATTCCTAAGTAGTTTCATGGGTACTTCCATAATATATACGTTATTGCTAATACTATACTTGTATGCATAAATTTACAGGCAGTTCAAAGTGCAGATATTTCAGTATTTTCTCATGTTCATTTGCCTCAGATTTCACCTCCAGAAAATCATCATCTTCCCCTTCTGAATTGGAAGTCATGCTAGGCACAGTTCTACTACTGCATTTACAGACAATGAAGGAACAGGGTTCTTTTGTGAAACAAGCATTGCTGGATTTCTGGGATGAGCTGCCTAACCACTGTATAGTACAGGAAAGCCAGATTGTTTTACCTCGACAGATTTCTTTTTTTAGATCTCAGCTACTGAGATTAAAAAAGAGTGAAAACCTTATACTATTCAGGTAAGAGGAATTTACATTCCAATCATTTCTGTGACTGATAAAAGTGTTCTCGTGCTCTAGTCAGGAAAGGCGCAATTAAGATATCCAGCTAAAGGAATTTTACAGCTCAGCTGGGCCATGTGCTCATACTTGCAGTCATAAACACGTTTGTCACTATCGTTAGACCATAAGAGGGATATGGAGGGAAAAAATAACCTAAGTATCAGCAACAGTCATAGATTTTTTGCTCTAACTTCAGTTTGTTCTAAAATCCCCTTCTCCAACAAGAGCATCATTTAATCTTTAGCAGAGGACAAACCACTCCAGCCCTCTCACTACAGCGTAACGTTCACCATGAATCAGTAGATACACTGCAGATTTTTATAGCCTCGAGAAGGAATATTGCCACCATGTTATTGGTACAAGGATTACGGGAAATAGAAATTACGGGACAACCTATTCTGAGACAAAAACTAGTTAATCTTTAACTCAAATAGTAATCTAAAACATTTTATGTATTTTCCTTACAGAGATTGCTAACAGCAGTAACTCGAGGCTATGATGAAAGAAAAAAAAAGACTGGGACAAAGTTGAATTTCCAGTTGAGCCAGTTCATCTAATATGAAGGCTGTGAGACTGCATGTAGCCAAAATAGCCACACTTTCAGTAGATTCTCTGCAACTTGCCATTAAATTTATTATTATTATTATTTTTAAACATCTTAGCTGTAAACACCTCAGAGTCTGGTAGGCTGACAGCTGAATTGCCAAGTTTTAAAATCCTGGTTAGAGCTTCAGATCTCTCCATTAAACACGTAGTAAATGATAGTTCTAGGATACAAAAACGAATTCCAAACCACTGGTAGTTTTCAGTGCTGAATGTAGGAGAAAACGTCTCTTGATATTATCATACATGAAGTGAGAGTTTGGGGTTTTGCCAAGCAGAAAAACCAGCAAGCTCTTGTGACTCTGCACACAATTTTTTCTTCTCAGATTTGCAGATATAAGAAGTCTGAACAGTTTGCATTTTTAAATCTGGTCACTTGTTCAAACTAACCTCAGATTTTTACCTTTTTGTTGTTTCACCCAGCTGTGTGACCCAATCTGGTCTTCTCGCCTAGCAGCTGGTACTGCATGCTCAGGAAATAACTGCTCTGGGAAGGTGTGAATTTCGTCCTACTTCTCATTTCCCTGTGCAATCTGTTGAGGTGCATCCTCACAAACTATAAAGTCGCCTTAATTTTTTTTATTTTTTATTTTTTTTAATTTCAGAACCCAGGAACGGGTTTATTAATATTAAAAAGCCCCAAGAGTTGCTTTCCTTTTCTTCAGCCATGATTCTATCTTCCTTTCAGGATCTGAGCTGATCTGCTTTGCTATAAAAAAGAGTGCAAATTAAAATCACCACCCTACTACCATCATCCAATTGCAACTGAAGGCACTCACAGTCTCCCTCCCAAACTATCAGCTCAGGTCTTAGCATTGGGTCAAGATGTTAACTGTAGTACATGAAAACAGAAATGAAAGAAGTATTAATGTCCTCCAGATGTCTAAGCAATTTTTTTTGCTGATATAAGACTTGCCCTTAGAAACTCATTCCATTAACCCCATCCTACGCCCAGGATTTCTTTTTCATCCTCCTTCTTATAAAGCAGTCCTGGTAAACCACAGGCAGCTAGATTTTATTGTGAGAATTCTTTATATCTGCAAATTACTTATTCTTTGCTCTTGTAATACATGCATAGCATTTGCTTACATTACATAACTGCAGAAGTACATATTCATAACCAAACATTGGAAGCCTGTGTTTGGTAACACCTGATTCTCGTTCGTACCCAACCTTGAGTACTGCATTAATACTTGCAATAACTTTCAGTTCTGTGAGCATGTGTACACCCTTAAAACCTCATTACCTTCTACCCAGAAGTTCAGCGCTTTTCTTTTTTCATGCAGTCAGACAGGAAAAAGCTGTCTAAGAAGCTTACCTGTTTGAAGGTATTCACATTCAACCTGGTTTTCTTTCCCAAGAGTTTTAGGATTTGCACTGTGTGAAATGCATTCTTGTTTTGGGGAATACAATTTATAAAGAATAAGAAAAATGAATTCTGCATACTAAAGCTTGCTTTTCCATTGCCATTTGATTTACTTATTTCACCAGGTGATGCCTACAAACTGACTTTCAGGTGCTGTTTTACTCCCTCACACCATCTGTTCATGCATTGGGTGCTAACATATAGTCTGTGTCAGTGAACAGAATGATGAACATCTGTATTTTGAACATTCTGGAAGATAATTTTCTCTTTGCTATGAAAGTGGTGATGTGCTGGAGCAGGCTGCCCAGAGAGGCTGTGGATGCCCCTGGAGGTGTTTGGGGCTGGGTTCGATGGGGCCCTGGGCAGCCTGGTCAAGTATTCGATATGGAGTTTGGTGGCCCTGCATGCGGCAGAGGGGATGGAGCTTCATGATCCTTGAGGTCCCTTCCAACCCAAGCCGTTCTATGGTTCTGCAAAGCTCTAGCTTTAGGAAGTTGAGAATAGCCAAACTCTACTGGTTTAGCTCATAAACCAGAAGAGAGAATGCAAGAATCCACTGATATACGATTTTTTTTAATATTAATTTTTAAAGTGTATGCACACAGATGTCTATATGTCTATTGCACAGTATGTGTGTGTGTGCATACATAAATACATAGCAGTGTATATGCACTACACTAAGAATAATGAAGGGATGTCTACAGAGCAAAACTAGGTATCCATTTCATTCTAACTAGCGATGGGTCTGAACCAAAATCCTAGATCCAAACAACATTGCCTTTGGAAAGTTTGAATCTGGACTGGGTTGGCTTTTTTTGAGATTTGTGGTTTAGTTTCATCTCTGGTTACAGCTGTAGTTCCTTACGTGTACACGCATTGTGAGGGATGTGTGTGCATGTGCACATGTGCTTATCCACGTGTGCCTGCCTCTGTGGGTGACAATGTGCGTGCCAGTAAGTGTGCACATGTTTACATATGTACTTTCAGCTTTCGGGAACTGTAATGTTACTGGTGTCATCTTCACCTTCTCCTGGACAGTTCTGTCTACAGCACATGAATACTTCCATGGGTCACTTTCAACTCTATAAATCACTACATTGAAGTATTACAGTTGTACAGTTATATATTTCATCTATACTTGCTCTGCTGTAACTTTTTACGTATTTTGTACTTCATAGATTATATATTGTGATAATGTCTATACAGCAACAGTAAAAAAAGCAAAAAGGAAGAAAATTAACAACTGTAAAGCATCGTCTTAACATGTATGCATGGTTAGTGACGTTTACATTTTTCAAAATAAAATTTGTTATATGAAATGTTGGTTTTCTTATAATTTTGTTCTCTTTACCGGTTTAATACCCCAGCTAGGTACTACTCCTGCTGTTAGTTTGAGAATTGATGTGTTGTTCAATATCTGTTTAAATTTTAGCCAGTGCTACTGTTTAAAATGGGATTCTTTTAAAACCACTGAGAAAACAGTTATGTGATATTTGCTTTGCAATCTCTTTTGTTTTAACTGGTATTTTAGAGTTACATAGTGAAACTCCTTTCTCAAGACTGGTATTTACTGTGTTTTACTGTATAAGATAGTTACGGGATAAATGCACACCAACTGAAGAGTTAACCATCCTTTCTTTCAAAGCTCAGCTCTTTGCACATTGCCACAAGTGGCAATGTCCTATCAAAACACCACTAACCTAATCTCACCGTGCTCCAAGACGTTTTCTTTTCTCATTTCAAAGATGATGAAATCAAAGGGCAAGTGACTGATTTAATTCCTCAAATACATGAGGCTTTAGCAGGTACATGTCTTGTCCCCTTGGGAATTAACACCACACTCTCAGAAAAATTTTCTTCCCTACGGTGATTAACTCTCTGTACAATGCTATATCTGAACTAAAAAATAATTTGAAGGAGCAGACTCCTGTTGAAAGGTGAAGGCTAAAATATCCACACTAAGCTAGGAACAACTCTGGAAATTACTATAAAAATCAGTACATTTTCTTGAGAATGAGTGATTAAAATGGTTCAGAGCAAATAACCTAGAGGAGCATTATCTTTAATGAGAGGTTTCCCCATGTGTTTATTACCATGTTGAACTGTCAGTGCTATTCATCATCTCCGATTATGCATCAGTCAGCTTGTATATCTCTGTGTGCCTATAAGCAACTGCCACTGTATAATTTATCCAAAGAAAGGACCTAACTAAATCACATAAAGGCTTAAATATCTTAATGCAGTTTTATGCAGTATTTTTTATCTAAGAGTAACATACTCTTTGGGCATGCAGTGGACTGCTTTGATTCTATTAGTGAACCCTCACTGAAACAGATAACAAAATGTTTGTATCCAGCAGAAAAATGTGGGTATGTTTCATTCTTCTCTTCAAACATCAGCATGATGCAGTTTCTATCTGTTTATTCTGCATGTCTGTGTTATAATTGGGTAATTCCAGGTTGCCATCCTCAGGCAAAAGCCTTGGTAAAGCATCTAGTATCTAAGTGAGTTGAAGTTCCCTTGCATACCTTGCCTATCAGTCTGATGGCTGAACTTCTTCAGCTTCAGACCCACCTATTTCAATTTCTGTCCTTGAACAAGAAGGCTAGGCAGCTGCTTTGGAAGCTTAGTTGCTTTCTGCTAAATCATTCCTATGGGTGGAGAGTGACATGTTTGAACTTTCTGGAATGATGAAAAGAGAAACAAATTCTTCTGAAAGGATATGCCTTCTCAGCTTCAGTGTAGATTGCTGCCTCAGTATGTAATGTTATGTGCCTCCCCACCCAGACATTCACACTCTGCAACGTACATGTTAACACACTGTCATCCACAAAAGAAACTGCTCCTCTCGAGTCGCTAAATATATGGGTTTCTGTCTTGCCTGTGACTCAGCACTTGTCATCAGATGTTCACAGACTTGGCAGTAGTCCATCAGTTCAGAAGAAAAGAGATAACGCTGCTAGCATTAAGATGAGAATTTCGTGTTACATTTACCTGTGTCCTTTGGAGTGATTCACCTTATGGTTTGCAGCTCCAGCTATTCAAGGAGACACATCCATGACATGCCTTGACGGTTTTCTGCAAGAGACTAAAATGGCATAAATATAAATAACGCAGTCAACAGAAAGAGAAAAGACAGAAGACACGCTGGAATAAAAAAGAGGCAAGGAAAATGAGACAAGCTGATTGTTTCTAGCAGCTGACCAGAAAGGCTGGCACACCAGAATACATGTGTGGCTTCCTCAAGAATTCCAGAGCAACCAAGCTAGACAGCATCTCCAGTGGGCAGATCACTTCACCTCTTCTAAGAGCAGTGTAGGAGGGAGGTATGTCAAACAGTAGTTCAAGCACATATGTCAAGTTAGGTACAGTGCACTGCTGGCACAGCTAAGACTTTAAAGAGAGAAGAAGGGATTTTTTAGTAGTTTTTTTAACCCATACACCAAGCAAAGGAAGAGAGTCTCAATGCCCAGACATCTGAGCATGAATTAACAATGACTTCGGGAGTCAGATTTGTGCTGTGGGCAATTGAGAGAACAAGATTACACTGAACAAATTTGGAGAAAAAAAGAGGGTGGAAAAGAGAGTGGGGTTTTAGGCAAGAACAGACCCCAAAAGTCTAGGAACACTGCTAACAAAACCTCAACTTTATCACTTCTGTGGCCCTCTGCTGGGCTCCTTCTAGGAGATTTCTGTCTTTTGGGAACTAGAGAGCCCAGAACTGAACACAGTATTCTAAAAGTGGCCTAATCAGGGCAGAATAGAGGGGGAGGATCACCTCCCTTGACCTGCTGGCCACGCTCTTTTTAATGCACCCCAGAATCCCATTGGCCTTCTTGGTCACCAGGGCACACTGCTGGCTACAGCCAACCTGCTGTCGTTCACCAGAACACCCAGGTCCTTTTCCACAGAACTCCTCTTCAGCAGGTCATCCCCTAATCCAGATTGATGCACGCAGTTATCTTCAGGTGCAAGACTCTACACTTGGTTTTCTTAAACCTCATCTGGTTCCTCCCTGCCCAGCTCTCCAGCCTGTCCCAGGTCTTGTTGAATGGTAGCACAACCTTCTGGTGTGCCAGCCACTCCTCCCAGCTTAGTATCACCAGCAAACTTGCTGAGGGTGGACTCTATCCCTTCATCCAGGTTGTTGTTGAAGATGCTGAAGACAACTCAGCACTGACCCATTGGGAATATTGCTAGTTACAGTCCTCCAACCAGATCCTGCACCCCTGATGACATCTAGTTGAGCTCTGCCAGTCAGCCAGCTCTCAATCCACCTCACCATCTACTCATCTATCTGACACGCTCTAAGTTTTATAACAAGGATGTAGTGGGAAACAGTGTCAAATTACTCTCTGAAATCAAGATAGACAACATTCACTACTCTTCCCCCATCTCCCCAGCTATGATGACATCACAGACGGCTACCAGGTTAGTGAAGCATGATTTTGCCTTTGTGAATCCATGTTGACTCCTGATAACCTTCTTCTCTCCCAATTACTTGGAGAGGGCATCCAGAACAAAGTGTTCTGCCACCTTTCCAGGTGTGTAGTTTTCCAGATCCTTTTTGTTGTCCTTTTTGAAGACTGAAGTGATACTGGTTATCCTCCAGTCTTCTAATACCTCTCTCACTCACCAACACCTTTCAAAGATTAGATAGAGAGCGGTTCAGCAATGTGTGCAGCTCCCTCAGCACACATAGGTGCATCCTATCTGGGCCCATGGATTGCTGTATGTTGATTTTGGCTCTCTGACCAGATCCTCCTCCACCAACTGGAAGTCTTCCTCTCTCTCTTACTCTCTTACTTTCACGGTCTGGGGCTGAGGGCTGGTCTTAGCATTAAAGACTGAAGCAAAGAAGGCATTCACAATCTCTGTCTTCTCAGCATCTCCTGTTAGGGGGATCCAAGGCATCTACTCCACTTCGCAGGGGGCCCACATTTTCCCTAGTCTTCCTTTTACTGTTGGCATTCTTAAAAAAAAACAACAACAACAACAACAACAAAAAACTCTCATTACCCTTTACCTCCTTTGCAAGGTTTAATTCCAAGAGGGCCTTAGCCTTCCTCGTTGCATTCCTCTAATAACTGTAGCTCACCAAGAAAAAGCAGCTCTGTTGTGTAATTGCTGCCTCATCATAATTGCAAATCAAGGATCAACCTGCCCAACCTGACTGGCACCCGGAGGAGTTACATTTAATCTCCGGCTCCTGCTGGCAAGAACAAATGTTCAATAGGCCAAGAGAGGCTGGCAAAAGGGCAGGGCTGAAGGGCTCTTGATGGCAGGTCTCTGCCTAGCTGACACGTGTGCTCTGCGTCAGTGGAGAGCATGCCTGCTGGGGTGCACTGCAACAGGCCTGAGCCTGCTGGGCTGGTGCCTGCAGGGCGCTTTGCAGAGGGCTGCGCAGTGGGGCCCAGGCGTAGCCACATTTGCAGTGCATCCTGTACCTCAGCCCACGGTGCGTGCTACTGCTTCCCTCACAGGGGCCAAGTCCAGGCAATACTCTTTCTGCGTGGGTTGTTTATGCAAACAGAAGTGCTGTCTGTAGACCAGGAAATTCAAATCACCGTCCCCAAGTTTATACATCACACCTTTACCACCTTATCACCCACATCACAAATAACTTAGCAAGTCAGTAATAATGTGTATAGAAGTATTAACATCAAGAAGAACATCAAGAACATCTAGAAGGCTGCCTTCCACCAGGACTAAAGGCTGGGATCCTGCCATCATTACATGTGCTTTGGCAAGAAGCCCACATGAGTCAGTTGGAAGTGGAAATCGAAGTCGACCCCTGTCTTCCACATTCTTCAGACCACAGGAAGACCACTGAAGAGTTGTGCAGGTATCCTGAAGTGCTGCTATTAAAGTATTTGTCTCTTGGGACTCGACATCACCAACTTACACTGTGCACTGCAAATACGGAAGATTCACCTTCCCTGCCTAACATCTGCCTAACATGTCAAGATGTCCAACCTAATATTGCAGGTGACTTAGCTGTGCTGATATGACACTACTTAGACTGTAAAGTAGCCCTCACTCCTGAGGCAGAGCAGGGTGGACATGAGGACATGACTGAGAAAAAAAAGTCAGTTCGAGATCACAAGAGATGGTGCTCGGAGAGTTTCAGGTGTGTGACAGCATAGTAAGAGCAAAGACACGAAATAATACGGGAAAGAGAATCAGCAGCAATAAGTGGGAAAGGTGAAGTTCAGAGGATAAAGATCAGTGCATGGGGTAAGGCAATTTCTAGAGAGCAAAAGAAAGGGCTAAGGTACAAAATCCAAAAGGAGCTCTGGAAGAAGGAGTACAATGGCTCCTGTGATGGCATTTCCAACTGACTGAATGGTGAGATGTGCCAGTGCGTAATAAACAGGACCGTGCGTCCTTAAGAGACCAATGTTTGCATTTTCCCATGCTTTCCTATTGTGGAGATAACTTACTGAGTCATTTCTCTGATCCTGGAGACAAACGGAACAGACACAAAACATAACAAAACACAATAGCAACGGGAAGAGAGAAATTCCTCCCTCCCCCTTTTACCACACACGTGTTTTACGTAAGAACACTTAAAGCCTCCAATAGAAGAGAAACAAGGAACAGACTGACAGAGCTTTGCGGTGCACATTTTTTGAATCAAGGTCACCTTCTCCACCATTGCACGAACAGTTAAAACACGAATGCTGCAGTTCTCCAATCTGTTACTTTAAAATATTTTGTCCCGCTGCTTTGGTTAGAAGTCTTACCTTCCAGATTTTCCACAGACAGGGAATGGTAAGAGGAATTTGCTAGCTTTTTTAAACTTCAAAGCCCTTGACTTCAAAGACCCTGCAATTTTTCTCTCAAGCTTCGTGCCCCACCCTCTGGAAAAAAAAAAATGCCAGTTTGGGAGTCTCTCTAAATACCACATTTGGAAGCTTGCAGACCACAGCCTTGTTTTCATATCACACATCTAGAAGTCAGCGTGACAGCATCACAATCTCTGCAAAGGGGAACGATGAACTGGGCACCCCACTAGGCTGGTAGCCAGGCCAGCTACACCAAGACTTCCTATGCCAAGCTGCAGAATTCACTGCTGACCAAACCCAAGCAAAGGACAGTTTCTCTCTTTAACCTCTGTTACTGTGCCAAGAACTATCTCAAGTCCTTTGCATTAAAGACAGTAACGTTCCATGAAGTCACAACGTATTACAAAGGTTGGTTCCAAACGCAGCCTTTTTGTAAACTCTAGAAATAGCCAAAAAATTCCAAGCTTTCCAACGTAGCAGCCTCCATTCACCCTGCAGAGCACAGCAGGCTGGGAGGAGCAGGACAGTTTGTCACAAAGCAGCTCAGTGCTGGCACAGCCGGGCAGCAGGGCAGGCTGCAGGTTCTCAGTCGACCCATGTCTGCCTTCCTCCTGCGGAAGAGGAGCCCACGAGGCTGGGGCTCAAAGGCAGACACAGCACAGCCCAACTTCCACAACTTCCCACTGAGTGGCGGTTTCACCTTAACGTGCCCTCAACTGGATAACTTGAGTGAGAAAACAGAGGCGAACCCAGCAAACAGGAACTCTGCAGAGGGTGGGACAGTGCAAACAACAAGACCAGGTGAATAAATCAGGACTGGCTGTTGGCTTCCCTGCAAGGAACCTTCCATTAAGGCTCCGCTGTATATTTTTGGACTCCACCTCTCTATTTTTAGGAGGGATAATTAATGCAGAAGGAAATAAGGAAGGAAAAAAAAATAAAGCCTGGAGTCTGAAAATGGAAAAATTTGTATTCTCCACAAAATTGTCCACTATGATTAAGGAGGAGTAAAAAAAGGGTTCTATTTCATGAGTAAAAATACGCTACAAATCACTGTAAAAATTATATGTTACACAGTATTTGCTAGGAGAGGGGAAGTATTTCCAGAAGACAGCATTTCCCCACTTAACTGTTATTAAAGAGGAATGAATGCTCAGCTTTAAAACGCAGCTGCACTCTGGCTGTGTGTCAGGGCAGCTCTCAGCTGTGCTCAGGCTGTGGGTGCCTCTGTGCTCTGCGCTCTGGCTTTGGGAAGGGCTGGCTGACCTCTGACAACTGGCACGGGCTCTGTCCAGCTCCCTGCCTGCAGTCAGCAAGAGAAAAATCACAGGCAAGTTGCTGAACACTCTCACCACGTGCTGGAAAACCCCAGGAGCCACATGCAACACTCATCCCAGCGCAGTTGTGAAACAGAGAAATACAGCCTAACAGGGAAAAGCAGGTCCTTAAAATAATCTGCCTGAAGTACGAGGCTCTTAAAGCTAGAAAATGTTGTTGGTTGGTTGCTGGTTTTTTTTTTTTCCTTAATGAAAGAGAATATTCTCAGAGCAAACAAAACCAGAAGAGCTTTGCCCTGCTCTTCTGTTTGTGTCTGCATTCCCCACCTCACTCGGAACAGCACCTGTCTCCAAGCAGCCTCCCTGCTGCTGCTCAGCCTTGCACTGTGCCTTGCAGCCAGGAGCGCTCTCTCCACTCTCCTCCCTGGAGCAGCACCAGCTCATTGCCACCCAGCCACAGCCCACCTTCACTTTACATACCACTTTTTCTACTGCAAGGGTCACTTTGTCTTAGACTGAATCAAGCCTGTATATTCCTGGCACCACAGGGAAAACTGATGTGAAATGTTTAACAGCAGCAGAACATGTCAGGAAGCAGCATCCAAGTAATGTCTAAAACAGTACCTCCCTTTTAGGTGCCCCAGAAGTGTCTTTGCTTTGAAAAGCATCACACAAAAAATCATCTTTTTAACTAAGAACTGCTATTTCCTCAAAGAATGACTGAGGTATGGGAAAGGTTGTAGCTAGGAAAAAGCTCTGGGAAGTATTCAGTACTATTTCCTAATCATACCTTTCCTGCCTGACAAACACTTGCTGCTGTGCCTCTAATCAGAACTTCTTTCAAACACAGCGGTTGAGGATCTGTTTATTTCTTTGCTCAGGGAGATAAACATCAGCTTCAAAGAGTTAAAAAACAACTGGAAGAATGATGACATGCTGCAGGGTGTCTTTGCTAATGAATGGTGTTTCTAATTTTAAAAAGGTTGGTAGATGTGACACACTGTAAAGAGCATCTGAACTACCCCATGCTAGGCACATGTAAATACTGCAAAGCACTACACAGTAAAAGGGACGCTGAAGCATCTGTATTTTGTATGCGTCCAATTACTTTTGATAATAAAATGTCAGAGTAGTATTGTCTACAAATCCCAGAAGCCCAGATTCATGAGATATTTATGCTTGAGCTCCTGGCTTCTCTGATTATTTCCTCAAAATCGAGGTCATTCTAAGAATGACAGAAGCCAAAAGCAAAGCAGACTGGCTGTTGTACAGGTTTTATCAGTAATAAGATACACAGTCACCCCTAGCTCAAATCTAAGCCCAGTACACAACAAATACCTGAAGTCCATCACGCAGGTACAGCTTTTATTTGAATGCGGGACACGAGCTCAGGGAGTTCATGCAACTCTTGGGTGACAGCAGCAAACGAGGCACAGCCACTGACACCCATGGGCATCCCCCAGAGATGTGAACACAGAGCTCCGCCTAGAAAAATCTTTTTTTTTCCATGATAATTTCTGTAGTTAAAAATTTTCTTTGAAGAAGGAAAGCAATACTTCTTAAACAAAGCACCTATCAACACACAAAATCCTGTAGATGGAACATTTTTCTGTTTTTCTAGAATCCTGCAGAGAAGACATCACTGACAGATTGTGCAAGCAACTGATGCCCCATTAAACTCACAGCTCTTCTTCTGTTCACATAAATGATGTTAACTGGAGAGCATTACCTATAAGCACTGCAAAGAGAGATACCACAATTTTCCCATGATTATATCCCTATCATTTCTAACTCCAGTGTTTCACACTTACCTACAGTTCTAGAGCAGAGACACCAAAAGCATGTCTGATTCCTTGGGCAGGAAACTAAACTTGAGGTCTAACTGGACTCTTCTATATTGCATTTATCTGTATGCCAGAATGACTGTGCTGGTGAAACACACAACAGAAAGCGTATGTAATATGCTGCTGCAAAATCTACCTTCCTGAGCTGTCAGCAGTCAGTCTGGGGCAGGAGCCAGGGCAGCTCACACAACCAGGGACAAAGGAGATGACAGACTGAGCTGACAGCAGCACCTGCCTCAGGAGGAAAGAGGTTCAAGCAATGTAATTTTGAACAGCATAGACACAGACTTGTGGAAATAGAGAGAAGATGAGGATCATCTGTGAGGTCCAACAGAACGTTTCATGGGGCCAGGGTGGATGCTTGTTTTCTCTATAACTGTGCCAAAGAGCTTGCCTACTGCTCCTAGACACCCTGTGAGGGCAGGGCCTTAAGAAGGCAGTTCTTTCTGGTCTGTCTGCATATTCACAGACTTACTAATTGAAACATATTAGTCATTAGGGGCCTACACTAGGCAATGCCATTTGGACCACTTTCTTCCTACTTTGTTCAATTCAGTGATCAGGATTTTTATTACAATTGGCAGATGAAGTCTGATGTATGTGCCTTTGCTTTTCAGAAAACCTCAGACACCTCACGACTCACATGCTGTTGAACCTTGTGGAGGAGATACAGCCTTGGGGTCTTCTTGGCTTCCATTCCAATCACTCCTGCTGTTTTCAATCTTTTTATAAGTCTGAGCATTCTGAGGATGATTTCCTGTAGAATGAAGAAATTAAATTTGTTACTATTCTGCACGGTTCTATGATACATATATATTTTTTTCTTCATTTCTAGTAAAATCAAGTTAGCACTTACATTTCACATTGTAAAACTTTTCAGGCTAACTATTTACAGTCAGATAACCAATATATTACACACTATCTAACCACTCTGACTACAGAGTTGCTCTCTGTTGCCAGGGGAAAGTTCACCTGATCAGTAGTTTCTCCTGCAATTTATTGATCTCAGACATCCCAAGGTTTAGAAACCTGTCACAGATGAAGATTCAAAAAACCTCTGAATTTCAGACACATGTTCCAATTACACACGGGGTTTGACTGAGCCATCTGTATACAAATCAAATGAAAAATTGGCTTTTGAAAAATTGTTTTTAAAATATTATAAGCAAGCAGAAGGAAGCTAAGTGTTTGGATTTTGACTGGAGTGTTCATCAGAAAAGACATCCAATGCTAGATTCCTACAAGCAATGCCTTACATTGCTTTAATGTCCTTCCCCCAGGGATGTCTTGAAGTGTTTACGAGTGCAAACTCCAGTTTTTCAAAGAAGTCTGCCCTGGGTTTTCCTGCAGCACTGGTGGAACTCACACAGCCCTGGATGGATGCAGGAATCAGGTCATATTGCACAACTGCACAACTGTAGCCTCTAAATCAATTTTAAAAAAGGACAGATGAATTATTTTGTGTACTACTGCAATAAAGGTAACACAATCCCAGTATCGCTCAGCAAGGCAAGTTCAGTGTAACATTACAATATCCTTATACATAAGAACAATGTTCCTAGAAACCAGCATTTAAAGATGAGCGCACAAATAGCTCTACTAGATACTCAAAGATGTTATATTTCAAAGTATTTCCAGTTCGGATCACAACATATTTTGGTTAAGAGATTTATGAAGTGCTTTAGACATAGCACATGCAGAGTTAGATTTGAGTCACAACTCTGAGGGCTTAGGTTTTTATGTTTTATTTTTAAGCAAGCTCGGATGCTTACTTTCAGATTATGTTTGGACCAGCAGATAGAATCAAAAGTTCCTATCCCCTGCATCCTTCCTTCTCTGGCTATTATTTCATCTTCTCCCCCATCTGAAAGGTGTCTATTATAAGTGGCCTGAAGGAAGTTGTCCTCCACCTCTCCTTCTATCGCATCCTTTGTGGCAGTGCTGGTATTCACACAATCCTGCAATAAGCTGCTTCAAGAAGTCAAACTGACAGAAATCTATTCTGATTAAAAAAATATTGTTTTGGAGGCAATGCACTGTGCAACATACGGGAAGTTCTGCTCTACTGGAAAGGTCTCCCAGTTTGCAGTTCAAGTTGTACCCCGACTCTATCCTTGTGCCATCCCTAAGCCTTCTCCCCTTGTCTGGCAGCAGTGTTGCTCTGACTACCAGTCAGAAGATAAAGAGATGTAAAGTTATCCAGCTCCAGGGAACTTTCCTGTAAACATTTCTACTACTTGTTTCTGGTAAGAGCAGTAACCTTGAACAGCATTAGTTCACTCCTAAGTAATTTCCTCTATACTACTCAATGCAGTCCAGTCTCACCAGTCAAGACAACTCTTCTGCAAAAGTAGAATCTTCAATCTTCACCTTCTGTCTGTCTTCAGGTCCAGTATGTTTGTGCTAGGGATTAAGGAAATCCTAATGGTGGGTTAGCACACTGGCACCTGGAAACCAATGGAGACCTGCAGAACAGGTAGGTGTGTTCAGAGATTTGGAACTTTGCTTTGGAATCTACTTTATTACCTGTTTTATATCCAGTTCAAAGAGGTTATCAAACAGCAACTATTGAAGATAAAGATGTACTGGGAACATGAGCAAAATAATGAAATGGTTAATAAAGAACTTTAATCAAGAATGAAAGAATGATAAAAAGAAAAAAAAAAGTTATAAAACTTAAGCCCTCTCAGCTTTTTAGCATACCTGAAAAGATTATGAGATTAACTGATAAACCCTTTAACACCAACTCACAGTAGCCAGCCCCACACAACAAATAATTTTATCAATCACCAGAGAAAGACACTGTAATGAATTATTAATAATATTAGCAGAATACAGGATCCTAATACAGAGTAATCTAGGCTGCTTGGTAAACTGGGTACAAACTGTTTGATAGAATAAAGATTAAGACAGACCTTTAGAAAGACAAATTTCACCCCCTTACTTACCAGGTGGACAGCTCTTGCTCAGGAAACAGGAGAAAGACTCGATCAAAGGGCAGCTGAAGCAGAATTCCTTGCACATCTTAAGCCCAGAAAGACCGCAGACATTTTTGGGCAGAAACGCACAATATTTCAGTTAAGAAATTAACCGGTACTGAAACACACACTATGAATTATCTACATACACAAAGAACCAGAAACTAACTTGAAGCTGCAATGATGGACTGACCTGTTAATGCAGTCTGCAGCAGGGGCTGCCTGAATTAATTCTTGTTCATTTGGAGTGCACTTCAGAAAAAATCTTTCAGTGCAATTCAGGTATCTACAGATTGAGGGAGACGTTAAAAAGCAGGAGAGTCAAAGCAGAGGCACGAGGAAAGTTACAGAACTGGAAATACACTTATGCAACAACCTTGGAAAGCTCAGTCTGACATATCGAGGGCCCAGCACAGGGTACAAGCAATAGTGAGACCCAAAGGCAGATGTTTGCCATGCAAATTCATACACAGAAACAAGTTTTTATAGAAAAGGTTAATTAACCATTAAATAACATACTACATCTCCATATAATTTCTTCTGCACTTATCCAAACCAGCCAGCCAACCAACTCCAGCTCCAGAACAGCTGTTCTACCAAGGCCCCATCTGCCCTGATGACTCAGGTCATCTCCAGGCATTGACCCCCTGAGGACAGGCACAGCTCGCAGCCCAGCACAGTGCTGCAGCACTGCTCTCCTTGCAGGGGGAAACTTCGTATCTTTACAGCCATGGGACTGGGAGCATTAAAAAAAGCTGAGCAGACCTCACAGTGCCTGGTTTCTGGCTTTTGCCCATTATTTAGTTTACGTAAAATGAAACAGTGACGTTACAGAAAGAGAATGAAAGCTTCTGAGAAGCCAATTAAAACCCCACTGGTTTGCAGCATGTCCCCTGTGTGCTTCTCTTCCAGGTTTCAGTTTCCCCTACTTATACTAAGGAGGGTACACAAAAAGCAGTACCAAGAATTCAAGCAAACAGATACTTTAGAAATAAGTTAATTTTATTGAATAGGCATTATAGCTTCTCTCTGTTTCAAATAATGAGAAGTCAATTCACACAGATTACAGAGCTATCAGTTACTTGGAGTAATCTTTCATAAAAGAAAGAAATTAAATACAGTTCTGCTATAAAAAGTGCGACAGTTATAACTGGAAGTTTTTCAAAACATAAGCAAGTTTTACTACCTATTGCAAAAATTGGTTTAGTGCTTTAATACTTTACAAAGGAACAATCCAACTGCTAAAAACAGCTCTTACACATCATCTTTGTCAAATATGGATCAGATTAAAAATGACATTTAAATTGAATTAGAATGAAAACTGCAGGTAGAAAAGGTTCCCAAGAACTCACACTTTTCACAACAAAACATACTCATTATCCTTTAACATTACTGAATGCTCATTTCCTTTGAACAATGGATTGAAATATATGGCAGTCAGCTTAAAAATGACCAAAAGTTTTCATTGCAGGCAAAAGAGACTCCAACCAACCACACCTTGGAATTGTGACTAGGGAAGGCAATGGGAAAAGACAAATTCATTTCTTTCACACGTAATAAAAGTCTTGCATGAAAATGATCAAATACAGACAAACCTAAAGAGGAGCTTCAGCTTTAAATATGTTTCAGATACACCTTACTAAACTGTTTTTTGAAATCCTAAATCAATCTTTGCTAGCAGAATATAAGTATATAGAAGAAGTAGAAGAAATAGAAGAAACTGAAATGCAAGCTCTGAAAAACAAGGTTGGTTCCACTACACCAAGAACTTAAATTCTTAACCCCCCCAAAAAACAAAAATCAGCAAGGCTTGCTTTATTCCTTATTAACGTTTACTTAAGAGTTGGTGAGAGCCAACCACCCTTCTTTGAGACACACACTGAAGGTGCAAACACATTGCCTCAGTTTTAAAAAAGCTTGGTTTGCCAGGTTCTTAGAAAGAGTCACATTACCTGTCCTGTTTTATTCTTTATTCTATATAAATAGCTATGGTTATAATTGAAGAGAGACTCTCAATAAATGAGTAAATGAACTTCTATGGATGGAGTGTGACATCTGTGCTATTTCAAATCCTGTTTGCGAAACAAGCTACTCCGCATGCAAACTGCACAGAGAGGGAAGATGTAGCAGAGGCTTAAAATTGTATCCTACACAGATGAGAACAAAGAGCTTTCAGACTTGTCCAGGAAGCAGAACGTAAAAGGAAAATATTAGCAGTAGCAAAAAAAAATGTGTGAACAATTTGGGGAGCGCAAATTATACAATAATGAAGTTGTGATCAATTAGCTACTCATCCCTTTTGTGTATAATAACTTGGACTGTCCTACAAGATTTACCCTCATCTGAAAGGCATTAGGTTTTAACACAGAATTGTGTAACACAAAGCCTACTGAATATCAGAAATACAGATGAACTACACCAATGTTTTCAATATCTCATTCAACTTTTTCCACACAAACACATCAGTCACAAGAATCAATGAGGAGGAACAAAGCCTTCCAAGGAGAACACTGCCTCTCTGCCATGCAAAAGTTAACTTTGAGACATAACAAGAAGTTTGTAACAGTATCTTATTTCTTAAAACTGAATGCAAAATAAAGTCTAGACTGATTCCAATAGGAATGCAAGAGTTGCACAGTTTTGAAAAACTGTTTCATAGCTGAATCATGATAAGGCTGGCACATCATGAATGCAATACCGAGTTCCCAGAGTTAAGAGCAATGGGCTTGAAAAAGACACAAAGTAAATGCTCCTCCCCAGGAAAGAGCAGGGACCTAATCTAGCTCGTTTGGACAGAATTTCATACAAAACTGTCCAAGCTGACCTGGATTACTACGGTAGGAACTCCTCGCTGCTTAGGCCTGAGGGTCTGATTCCATTCATTATTTAACTTGGCCTTAAGCCCCGTTTCTTTTCCTTGGTTTACGTTGAATCAATTGAGATTGATATTATGTATGTGCAACACTCCTTGAGGCTCCAAGGGAAAGCATTCTGCGTACTGTACGTGCACACTACAAAGACCGTATTTACAGAACTTGGAACCTTGAACAACTAAATAATAAAATAATTGCCTGATATCTGCTAGTATTAAAACGGAAATGCACACAGTTTGCAAAGGGTAGAGACGAGAGCGCTTCTACCACGCCTACATGGCTGTACTTCAATTTACACCTGGTTGCAAGCCCGCTACAAAGAGACCAGGCACTCTCCTAGCCTGAGACACCACGGTTTGCTCTGACATCCCCTGCATATTTTAAACAAAAGCACGGGAAAGAGGCTTTGTGTCAGTTAAAACTGGAGGCAACAACAAGCCAGTGTTCCACGCCATCTGCACTGCAGGCACAGCTCAGCCACCAAGGGCCAGAAGGAACCGTGTTTGCTCCGGGTCAGCCATGCCTCTCAGGCTCCTGACACACCTCCAGGCTTCACTGGGCAAACGTGCTATGCCACAGGATCCCAACTTCATCACAGCAAAACAATTCCATGGGATTTACCTCAAAAGTAAAAAAGCCTTTCACCTCCTGGCTCCCTGAAAGCGCAGCCCCAGCCTTAAGGCCATTTTCATGTTCATGTTGCTTTTGCACATGAATAAAAGAAGTCCTTACCATACCAGTTTTCTTGCTTTTAATTTCCCACTTAAAAAAAAAAAAAAAAAAAAAAAAAAAAAAAAAAAAAAAAGGAATAAAGAGAAAGGAGAAAAGGAAAGTGAAATACACAGCACTCACAGAGGGCACCTTAGGCACTGTCTAGTTCTAACATTGGTTCATACTTCTGTAATCTCAGATGATGTGGACAATGCAGAATTTGCTTTCTGGCAAAGGGTAAACCTCTGCATCAAAGTAAACGGCTACAACATGCAGAGATAAATGGCAGAGCAACACTCCTTTGCTTTCCCAGGACACACAAAGATCTACACTTCCAGTCCTGAAAGGAAATGGTTCCTGACACAACTTAACCTTCCCTTCTGCAGTACTGTGGTGCTGACATTCACCTGTTTTTACCCTTGTCGCTTATGTTGAGTAAGGTCTTCTGACACGGTGACACTTACAAAGAACTGTAAGTTTTTCAAGCAAAACGTCTTTTGAAGTGACAGGTTGTTTGGGTGAATATGCAGACGCTTATGCAGAGTACAGCAAGTCAGAATGCTTTACAGCCATGGCTAAATGAGAAGTGGGGCAGAGGCTGCATCCAGCTAAGTGACTCCTGGTCCCCAGAGAGTCGTAATTTTAAGGCTGTTTGGAACCTGGTGGCTTTTACCCAAATCACGTGTTCCACAGTGCAAATGTGCATCAGCCATTTCAATTCTCCTGATACAGTACATGCATTTAGGTAATGGGAGATAAAACAGCAATCAGAACAGTGTATTTACTTGAGAGGAAAAAAATCAGAATGAGTACGCTATACAAGAACATCAGTGGAATACACCAGCCCTGTTTTGACTGCAGTAGGTTAATGTATAACAATATGGTCTTTTGGTACAAAGCAAGTCTCTCCATAGGCATGCAAGCACTCTGTGAATAAAAGCCCAATTATTTGTTCATACATGGAAAAACACTGAAGATAAAATGCAATTTCCACTGAGTAAAAATAAGCAGAAAAATAAGCAAAACCCTGAATGTGCGTTGGAGTATTGCTGCCCTGATTTTCTGGAGGCAGGAGCTTGTTCTCCCCCAGAAACTGATGCTCAGTCCATCTTAAAACCAGTCTGTTTATTAGGAGAAACCTGAATGCAGAATCATCACATTAGGCATCCAGATCCTACTTTTTTGGTTGGAGTACATAACTTAATAGGAGATTCACTTAAATTAAAAAAAAAAAAAAAAAAAAGCAAATAAAATCACAGAAGTTAGAATTCTAAAATCTTACTGACTCCCAATTTAAAATATGCCTCAGTTCGTAAAGTCCTTTTTTGGATGACTCACAGGTAATTTGGATGTACAGTACAAAAACCCATGAAGAAATGAAATCTGCACACCTTAATCTGCAGGGAGGCAACACATTTCAAATATATTCAGATACAATGCATCTGCCAATGACAAGATGACATTTCTATGATCTGTAGTGATTTTCTTCCCACAGATGCTAAATCACTGCACTGATTACTAAGTCTTGATTTTCATTTGCAAGGAACAGCAAATCCAAGACCCCATCTTTCTAAAAAGCAAAATTACCGTTCATCAGTGGATGCAGGGTATGTTCTCAACATCCCACGTCAATCAGTAGCAGTGCAGAAATGCTTCATTTGGTAAGAAAACTTTCCAGATGAATGTTTATTCATAAGCTGCTTATAAAAGTGGCTATTGGTAGAGACCAGAAGGAAGAATGGAAGGAGATAGGGAGGAACAGTGTTTTACCAAAAATATATAAAGAAAAATTTAAAGCTTTTCAATTAAGAAAAAAAACCTGTGTATTCAACTCTCATTAGACACAGATGTGCACAACAGACAGCAGTTAGAAACAACACACACATTTTTACAAAGCTTTCTTTTCGTGGTTAATTTCTACCAGCACTTTGGAAGGTAACCTACTAAAATGATGACCCTGTTCATAATAAAGGCGCAAAATATTGCTCTGTAGCATATTTT